TTGCCGCGGTGACTTACTCCACGAGCGAGGACTCCTGTCTCTTATACACATCTAGATGTGTATAAGAGACAGGCATGTATCAAACCAAGCACACATACCTGTTGCCGTCCCAGGACCTTGGTGATGAAAGTGAACGTAATCTTGTTCTTTCCCATCTTCAAGTTAAGAGACGCCAGCTGAGCAGAGGTGGGCAGATTGGTCCAAAGAAACCTTCTTTTGTGCTTCCTCTGAGGTGGGGGAAGACGCGGTGCGGGTGCGGGTGCCAATAACGCCTCCTTCTTTCCCCGAGTCATTTCTTTCACCAAAGGATTGTTCGCCGTGGCCTTCATCATCGCCCGCAACTCCTCATCTGAGGCTGATGCTGCAGTTGCAGGTGTGGACCGGTCTGCCGACTTCCGTTCCTCCGGACTCTTTGGCCTTCGTCCGAATGGCCAAAGCCGCCACCCTCCACTAGCCGGCACAGGCACGAGTGCTTTGCTCACCTCCGCCGCCGGCTTCTCCACCTCAATAGCCCCATCACCATCTCTGACGTTGTTACCAGGCAGTACTTGGCCGAATGCCAGAATCCCCAGAACCTTCGGCGCCGCCACAGACCAGGGATAGTACCGCCCACCAACTCGCACAACCAGCTTGTCGTTGGTAGTTATGCCCTGAGGGTTGCCACGAAAGTGGTCGATAGATATCCGTTCGGACTCGAAGGCAGCTGCGGCGGCCTCTACTCCCATTCGCGGGGACAAAAGATGTCCGCAAAGCGATAGCTCAAACCCAGTGCGCAGAGAGGGAGTAGGCTTGTTACTTTCGACTAACCCCGACTCCGATCTAATGACCGCGAAGTCTGATCCGCTGCTGCTTCGACCAGACTTCACCATAGCACCCTCGGAAGGTACTTTCTCCTCACGTCCAAGCTTCGACGCAGCAACACCATCTCCACCAAGAGCTCCTCTCTTTCCAACCTTTGGAGACCTCTTTAAACACGCTTCATCTTCCTTGGCGATTCGATCGGTGGATCTGGGGGTGATCATTGATGACGAATCGTCAAAGGAAAGGGTCGTGGAGGAGGTCGTGATCGCACCGTCAGGTGCGTCGCACACCTCCCGTCCCACTGGAATAAGATCGAAACCTGTCACAACGCGGCAGCCTGGATCCGATTGCCGTCGTTCCAAGACGACGGTGCCGTTCGCATTCGCGGGAGAAGCAAAAGCTGGCGAGCCCACGCTCCTCAAATCGGAAGGAAGACTGGTACTCAATCTTTGATCTGGGGTAGAAACCAGGCCTTCGTCTGCTGGCCCACCGGCGCCTTTCTTCCAACACTCCAAGCGGCGCCCCTCGCTTCCAAAATCGGAGGCAGCGTCTTCCACACCCTCGACTCCTTCCTTCCTCATCTGAATTGAACGATATAATACGGAAGCAGCAGGAGAACGAACGGGTGCAGCAGTGCTCAGCCCGTCCGCGGGTCCATCACCAAGAAGTCCGTCAGCAAGAAGCCCACCACCACCGCCAACCGACGGCCACGATCTTACCCCCTCTTCTCGAACAACGTGTTCCCCTACTCCGGAAGAAGAGAGTCCTGGGCGAATGGCTATGGGTTCACTAACCCTGTCCCTTTGATCGTCCTGTCGACGTGCGGGCAATTTCTCCACCTCCTCCCCCTCGTCATACTCCTCTTCTTCCTCCTCCTTCCCTGATGCTTCTCCCCCAGGGTCCTCCGCAGCCTCCTCCAGCATGACGTCCAGATTACACATACTTTCATCTACGGAGGAAATTCTTCCTCTCCCTTCAGAGACACCACCGCCACCATGACCTCCGCGAAGGACCTCTTCCACCTCCGATGATTGCCTTTCTCCGTCAAGCGCATTCAGTGCCATCATGCTATGTGAGCGGTGGAGCCATAGCTTGGAAGAGATCTTCAGACACAGAGCTCGCCTGCATCCGAGCCCGTGCGCCTCGCAAACGAACGTACTGCTCTCTTCCTCCTCCTCCCCTTCCTCTCTCCTACCCCCACTTGCCGGCTTTCTGTTGCCCCTCAAGACTGTCGTTGCCCTTCCGGTTAATTCCCTTACGGCTCCACTCTCAACAGCTTGCCGCGCCGCCGCTGCCATCGATCCCCTCCTCTGCGCGTCGTCTCGGTCCTCCTCACATTCTCTCGCCGAGGTCTCCACTCTTGAGCCAGACAAAGAATCTCCATCATCGTTCTTCATATCCACGCCATCTCTGAATTCCTTTTTCTCCATCGGTTCCTCATTCGTCTTCCCAAACCGATCTTCTTCACTTGATTTTGCCCCTCCACCCACATCACCACCGCCTTCATTACCACGACTACACTCACTTCCCACCTTACCTCCGTTCTCACAGGCTCCATCCGAGGTACAGGCAACCCGGTGACTGCTGCTCTGCTTCCTCCCATCGTCATCTGCGACTAGGTCCGAATGCAAGCCACAGAAATTTTCCGCTGGTGAGCTGGCAATGCCGCTTTCCGTTGTCGCCGCCAATACCGTCAGCGAGACGGAGCACGCCGCCGCCCCTTCTGCGCCAACCGCAACACCATCCTGACCACCATCAAGATCAGCAGATGACAACACACAGATGGACACGGACACGCTGCTGCCCCCATCCCTTCTTCCAGCTTCTTTCCGCACAGGGCTCACAATGCTATCGCTGTCGTTTTCTCCCCGCCTATCCTCACGATCGCCACGTTCTACCATTTCACCAACAATCTCATCTTCCAGTTCGTTCAATACACATACCCCATGACACCTGGACGGCGGCGCAGCTGGCGCATTGGTCGTCTGAGCTCTATCCCCTGCACTAACAAGATCCGCAGCAGAAGAGCCGATACATGAAGCCAACCAGGCGCCGCCGCCGATCGGCGGCGAATCACAAAGAGTCGGTACGAGAGCCCTCTCCGCCGCCGAGTGGCTCGGCCGATCGACGATCCCCGAAGTCTCGACAGGAGTATCCATCCCTGTGACAATCCACTCTCCCTCCACCGTCTCTCCCATCTCCACAACCCCATTACCTGCCGCCTCATTCATCCTGTAACCCTCTCCCTCTCCCTCTTCCTCTCTTTCTCCCTCGCACTCCACATCAACCGGAGCGCTTAGGAGCTGCCCTTCTACGGAGACGAGAACCACACTCCGTGGCGATGGAACCCATATTTCCCCGTTTCTCCCCGCCGCCGCCGCCGCCGCCGAGCCTGCATCATTCAGGACATCATCATCGCTACAACGCGCAGGTTCTTTCCAGCAGTTGACTACAGCGGCGGCGTGGTCGAGGCCCATCGTATCTTCTTCTGCCTGCTCGGCCGTCCGCCTTACAGAGCTCAGATCAACATCGCCACCTGATCCTTCCACCCTCTCCAGACGACGAGATTGCGCCAATTGTTCCTCTGCAATAAGAACAACAGCAAGTCCACTTCCATTTTCACCCGCCAAAGATTCTTGTCTCGCAGCCGCCACTGTCTGCTTCCCTTCATCCTTGCCTCCTTCATCTTTGGCCTTCGAGGACATAGCCCCTCCTCCCCTGTCGTCGTCGTCTCCGATGATAGAAACAACAGCAGGACAGGATGATCGCATGCCATCACCAACAACGACGGCAAAACCTGGAAGCTCAGTGTTCCCTGCCTGTTCTTGCTGCTGCTTCGCTTGCATCCCAAGCACCACCTGCCCCTTGTGAGCGAGATCGCCATCGTCCATTGCTGATGCAACTGAAGATGCCGAGACAACCGCCGACGGAGGAGAGGTAGATGACGGAGGAGAGGTAGATGACGGAGGAGAGGAAGAAACCGCGGCGGCATAGTCCGAACGTCTAGTCTCGTCATCGTCGGTAACTGCACCCTTCGCCCCCATTGCCGCCGTCTCTGTTTCTGCCTGGCTCTTCACTATGCGTACGCTGGTCGCGAGGTCTGTCCTCTCCCGGCTGGGCTTCATTTCATCATCTCGAGGTCTTGCCTGTCGTTCTCTCCCTGCCGCTCCCCCTCTTCCCTCCTCCTGTGCGCTCTTTTCATCCCCCTCTCCTAAATCGTCCGATATCCTCACCGCAGTCCACTTGGCGTCCATCAGGCCCGTGACACGGTCGGCGAGCCGCAAATCGTCGCCCGTTTCCGACGCTGGAAGACGCGCGTTCGCATCTGCTGCTGCCTTCATCTCAGCGGACAACTCCCCTGACGTTCGGACTCCATTACTCCCCTCTTCTCCTCCACCGCTCCCCCTAAAGACTCTAAAGAACAAGCTCCCCCTTTTTCTTCCCCCTCCTGCTCCATTATTCAGGTTGCCGCTCGCCTTGTCAATTCCAGTAGAAGTAGGAGGCGTCGAGGGGCGCGGAGGAGAAGGCGACCCTGACAACAAGTTGCCAGAGCTGGGAACACGATTGCGCACTTTGCCAACATCATCTTCCCTCCGGCCTGCTGCTTCACCTCCTCCCCCCCCTCCCCCTCCCCCTCCTTCCCTTCCGCTCTCCTCCTCAGGGATCCGCGCCACAGTCTCGTAGCCCGAACTGCACCTGCTATTCTCCCCTCTGGTTGGGAGCGCCGCCGACGTCACCTCCGCCTCCTGCCCCCTTTCTCCACCCTCTATCACCACAAGCTCCAAAACCGCGTCCATTTCCGCTGCTCGCTCACCTCCGCCGACAGCAGCAGCTGCTGCATCTTGCCTATTTTTACGAGATGCAGCCGATCCTATTTCCCTTTCCGGGGACTTCGCTACCGAGTCCCGACGAGAAGTCGTTCCGTTCGCGCCCCCTCGATCCCGATTGTCGATGTTGCCTCCGTTGCTCTCGCACACGACCACGACCTCACCCGATCTCTCTCCAGCCGCGCCATCATCTTCCCCCCGGCTTCTGCGACCACCGCCGCCGCCACTGGATGGCGCCGATGGAAGACCTCCGAGGAGAGCCGTATCATCCATCACGCTGTTGCGCCCATCAGCATCCGACACACCTTCCAGGCCCATCTTCGCGCCACTTTCAACTTTCCTCGCGACCGCGGCGGCGGCGCCGCCGCCGTTATCGTTGGGCGCACCTGTTGGCGTAGCAACACCGCCCGTCGGTATCGCGACGTTACCGAACGTGCTAGCAGAGCTGTTGCCTGTCGTCCCATGCCTACCGTTGGTACTTGACACCGATGAAGAAGTTGAGGTCGAAGACGAGGATCCCGACGAGCTTCTCCGCCAGCCAAACCACCACGACCGCCGAAGCGTCTCCTCCTCGCCACCCGCAGAGACTCGCCCTTGTTGCACCTTAGTGGAGGTTGTCGTCGCCTCTGAACTTCTTCTCCGCCTCTCCTCTAGCGCTAACTGCCTCGCCAAAACAGGGGATTCCTTCAACGCACTATTTGCTTTATCAAACATCTCTCTCCATGCCATCTCGCGCTGAACTGCCGCCTTCGCCGTTTCGTCCAGCTCGGAGTCGACATCAGCATCTGCATGGTTGGGGAAATCGGTCGCCGCCTCTGTCCTTTCCCCCGCTTGCTTTCTCCCAGCAGTATCCGTTTTCTCGCCCGCGGGGATCATTGCAGCGATCGTCGCAGCGGAACAAGCTGCGCCAGTGCGCCCGTCTTCCGCTGCTCCATCTCCGCTGCTTCGATCTCCGCTCGTCGCTGCTGCCTCTGCCAATTCTATTGCACCATCGCCCTTTGAGGAAACAGACGCAGTCGCGCAGTGTGCGCAGATCTCACCGCGCCCGGCCCCATCCTGATTCCCACCACTGCCACCGCTTTCCGCAGCTTGCACACCCGCTCTGTCAGAGGCTGACATCTCCAAGCCGCCGTCCTCCCCCCCTCCTATCTCGCCATTGACACAGCCCACACTGCTTTTCGCTGAAACAACGGCATCGCTACCCGCCGAAACCGCGCAATCGCCGTCAGCACCACTAAGACCGCGGCCGCGCACGATCTCCGAGAGGTCAATGCCCCCCCTGTCTATTGCGCCTGCAACTCGAACGACCTGCCCCTGCTCGGCTGTGGTCGACTCTACTGTTCCCGACGACGCGTCGCTGCCGAACCTAACAACATCGTCACGCGCAGGAGACGAAGTGGATTGGCACGACTTCGCAGAGCAGTCTCTACATGTGCTGGCGTGGGTGGCAATTGCATCCTCCGCCGAGGAGTCCCTCGGGGCGTCTGGTGCGGCAGCCAAGCCTGCGGACCCCGCCGCCGTCGCACCTTCACACGCAGGACCCGCCGCCGATGCAGCAACATCAGCGCAGGATGCAGAAGAAGGCGCCTCGCTCGCAAGAGCACCCGCTCTTGCTCCTATGACAGGCGCCGAGGACATCTTCGCAATGGCAACGTTCCCAGAGTCTCCACCTACTCCCACCACACCGCCTCCTGTCGCGCAGGTTGGCAGCCTCCCGGCGACAGATTGCGCGCTGGTTATGGCGGCGGATACGCCGCCGGTACTCTCTGCCTCCGCCTGCGACTCGCCTGCCTTCAACAGTGTCGTTGCACACGTGGCAGCAGCTGCTTCCGATGGGGTAGTCACACATCCATCTGGCGCGCTTTGCGCGCTTTGCTGCTGCTGCGGAAACATGTCACTCCCAGGTCGAGTATCATTCCTCACACATTCGTCGCCAGAAGATCCAGCACTTGGTGGTGAGAAGACACTATCTTCTTCGGCACCCTCACGCTCCGAGTCTGAATCAACTTCTGTGCGGAAAAATACTGCCCCGTTCCGATCCATGTGCATCGTGAAATTTGCTTCCTCTTCATTCACAGCCACGTGGACGATTTTCTCTCTCTTCAGCACCCCTTGAAACTTTCCAAAGCGCACGTAGAAAGGAGTGCTCTTGTACGACCCGTCTTCCTGATACACTGCGATGATGTCCACCGCTCCACCAAACGGATGGAACGGTCCCGACACTGACCCAATCCCCCACTTGATCTTTTCCCATGACGGATACATCTCTCTCTCTCTCTCTCTCTCTCTCTCTCTCTCTCTCTCTCTCTCTCTCTCTCTCTCTCTCTCTCTCTCNCACACACACACACACACACACACACACACACACACACACACGCACGCGCAGCCGAAGTACGCACGAGCGCAAACACAGCACGTAAACACCTTTACCACGTCGCTGACAATGGAGATTTAACAACGCCCACGTGATGGCTCGGGGGCGCTTGTCGAAATTTGAAATTTTACGGTAAGCGTGCTGCAATCAGCTAGCCGCGTCAGTAGACCTCCCCTCACTCCTCCAACGCAATTAACTTGCTTTGAACACAAGTCAAGCTAACCTTGTCCCTCCCTCCATTTTCATTCCCAGAATTCCAAATTACCTCTCCCCAGGGAAAGCTTTTTCAGTCCAATCTCGTCAATTTGCCGCCCACAAACACACAGCTCACCTCCGTCGCTTCCAATTCACTCTTCTCTTCTCTAACTTCTCGATCAATTAACGAGCATGCGATTAACAGGCCGCGAGCTGAGGGCGCCTGCTTTGTACATCCTCGTGCCGCACAGCGTTGCAAGGCCCAGACTGCCCAACACGGGGCGATGGCACCCGTCACTCCACAGACCTTCGCCCCCAATTTTTCGAGACCACAAGGCACATCTTGGAGCAATGATAATTGCAGGTAAGAACTGCTGCTCTAATCAATTAAAAACGCCCGGTCATTATCGCTGTATCTAGACGGAAAGTTACCCAAATACGGCTGAAATGACCGGGCGTTCTATTCGGGTGAAGACGGTAGTAGAAATAGAAAGATCACCGAACAGGACGTCAGTTGATTAAACAACAAACGCCTTCCACCGATTTATTCCAACCGCCTGCACCGTCTGAGGCGAGCAAGTCTCTCTGTTTATCTATATCCAGGTAGAGGTCATGTTCTTGCGAAACGCAGAGCAGGTGGCCGATCCGATACTTCCTCTTCCTGCACGACGGGGGGAGCGCGAGAGAGTTGTCCTGCAATCACCAGTCTGCTGCCTCCCACCTGCAGATTTTTCGTTTGCGTGAAAAAGCGAAACTTGCGCATTCCTTGATATACCAATCAGCCAACCAATCGGTTCTCCTGCTCGATCACTCTATTACTCTCGCTAGAGGGCGTCCACCTAATTTTTTTTTTTTTTTTTTCTCTCCTCCTTGACCTTCTTCAGGCGCGTGCGTGCGCGTAACCTTCCCGACGAAGTGGTCTCTCTCTCTCTCTCTCTCTCTCTCTCTCTCTCTCTCTCTCTCTCTCTCTCTCTCTCTCTCTCTCTCTCTCTCTCTCT